ATGTGTCTACATGGAAAGTTGGTTGATGTTTAGTTGCTTATAACGAACTTTTGAGAGAAGAGGTGGACTGATTGTATTTGAAACTAATCGTTTCATTCAAATTTTTGTTTCTGTGAACATGTGATATGCACATTTTAAAATATAAATGAATGAAATGAACAAATAAATAAATAAATAAAATCAATTTGTTGAGGCTTGGAATGCAGTTGGATAAGAAATGTTCACATAAGGTCCCAAACAACCGAAACTTCAAAAAGTATGTAAATAAATTGTCTTTTCAACATTTTTGGGTCCATAGAAATGCATGCAACATTTGCTCAGACTTTAGATTTGACAGATAGATTTTATTACAGACTTTATTACAAAGTCCAAATTACATAAAAAAGAAGGTAAAAGGTAATGGTAATTTTATTTATATAGCACATTTTCAGCAACAAGGCAATACAAAGTGCTTTGCAGGAATTAAAAGGAAATACAAACTAAATAACAAACCAAAGGAAAGGGCAAAAGAAGAAAAAGCTAATAACGATGTTATACAAACTACCACAACTTCAAAAAGTAAAGAGTAAATTCTCTTCTCGACATTTTTGGGTGCATGGAAACACTTGCTCCAATTTGTGTTGGTTTTCACATAAAATCCAAATAAAATACATTGAAATTATTTTTTATTCCAAATAAAATCTTTTGAAATGCTTTCAGATAATGAATTAATTTGTAAAAGTAAAGGACGAATTTAATGTCATATTGAAGTGACTGTAAATAACTGAAACTTAACGTATAAAAGCAAACTCTAGAAACGTTGCAACATTTGTCCAGCAGGTGGCAGCACACGATCACAGACTGCTTTAAACAACCAGCGGAAGCATTTTTCTCTTTCACACCGTTAGCCCTGAGACGCGACTCTTCGGACAGATTAACAGGTTGGTATTTGGGTAAATCACGTCCTTGGCACAGAGTCTCCGCTTTCCTCCCGGCCAGCAATTTGCATGAAGCCCAATTATTCATCAGGCCTCTTCAAAAAGATCTCCAAAAAACACCATGAATGGCTCATTCATGAGCTTCAGAGATTGTTGGCAGCAGTAACAGAGGGCTTACACTGCAGATAGAAGGTCATTAGAGTAGGAAACACTGACTGCGCTGTTCATCAGATGATTGTGCGCAAGCAAACATTTCCTTCCCTTTTCTGTCTGTAAGATCAGTCAGCAAAATTGTGGTTTTTTTAGTGTTTCAAGTGCATCTGTGGAAGAAGAAAAAGAAGAAATCTGACAGGGAGTATTACATTGTGTAGTGAGTGGTTGTGACCGAGTGGCCTTCCCAGGAATGCATATAAATCAGCTTCTTTGCATTTTGTCAACAAATAAATCCAACAATCCTGCGATTTTGTAACCTTTGGCCTCCAATACTTCCTGAAAGCAGAAACAAGATCTTCTACAACAATCAGTTTTTCCAGTATTTTTAAATCTCTCATTCCATATCTGACTTGTTTATTATTGTCTTGCCAACTTCCCGTTTGTGTTTGTTGTTTTTGTGTCATCGGATGAACGAAACAGTTGACCTAACCCCTTACCGGCGCCACAGTAGCAGCTTCCCGAAAGCCAAACACAATAGTGAGGCAGGAGGATACACTGCATGAGCAATGTGAACAATTTGTTAGCCATATTGGGAGTATTAATATTGCTATGACAGATGGAAGCCCAGAGGATGCAGTTATTATTTATATGTAGGAGGCAAAGGGGAATAAATAAACAAATGAGAATCAGAGAATAGCCTGTGCTGATGGCGATGAATTGACAATGGCTGTAATGATCTGATGGGCTAAAAATAAACCTGCTGCACAGAAGAATACACAATAAAATAAAAACGGGAAGGATACACCTGTAAAGGCAACTTCTTGTTTTCATCAGGGCCGGGCAAAACCTTTTCGGGGCCCTAAGCAGATTTTCAGTTTGGGCACCCATACCAACATGCTAACACCAGATACTTTATCACTGTGTGTAACATAGCTACTGTCATTAGCATAATTAGCATTATACTAGTGTTGTTGAATTGCAGTTATTTAAATGTGCAATATTATTTTACTTATTTGAAAGTGACATCAGCTGATAAACACAAACTTTACAGTAAACAAGTTAAGAAGTTTTTAAAAGTAAAACGTAGCTATTCATATATTTCCTCTGCAGTAGAAGACATTAACCATTATTTGTGTAACAACTATAAAGACGATATAGAAATTATTTTGTCACTTGTAATAGAATTTATTTTGTATTATTCAAAGTTATTTTAAATATGTAAATATATTTTAGCTTGGTGCTCATGGGGGCCCCCTGGTGGTGTAGGGGTTCATTTCTTCTCTACAACAGCGAAACAGCAAATAACAGGGCATCAGCTTAACTGCTAATGCCCTATTTTTAAAGAATAAAATGTATTTTGAGGTAAGAATCCACAATGAACCAACAATACAAGATCACAAACTCTAGGAAAAAAAGAAAAAGGTAACCAAAAGTTCAAATTTTCTAAAGACTTAAAAAAAATCCCTTTGACAAAAAAGGATGAGAGATATTCTTTGATGTTATGCAAACAGAAATATTTTTAGCGCAGCTTGAAAAAACAACCCGTAAGATAAGTTTGTATCAATGTTTCTTAAACAGATCAGAAACAAAGCTGGAACAGGAACCACCCAAATGTTTATATTACAACAGTATCTGTCCAAGGTCACTTTCTTTCTGCCTCCACAGACACACTCACACAGGCGGCCAGCAGTCTGGACTCTCATCTACAAAACCTGAAATTATCCGAAGCTCTGGGGGATGATAAGCATCTCCAAGTGTCCATATCTGCTGTCACCACCTCCACTGGACAGAAAGATATCTTTTCTAATGTTTTTTTTCTGTTTGATCTTTCCCCCCTTCACTGCCTCCCTCACTTCTTTGAGTGGTTACATAACACATGAACGCTGCTATTTGTTTGTGTAAACTGTTCGCCTTTGCTGATACAATCTCTCTATACCTCTGTAATTACAGTCCCTTTTTTTTTTTTAAAAAGTGGCCTTGTTGTTCACCAGATGACAGAGTTCTCCATCTCTCCGTGGCGCTGCCGACTGAAACATGTTGCATCGTTTAGCCACTCCAGTTCCCTTTGATTGCTCAACATGCATTTTTTCTCACCATTTTTCATTTTCTCAGGGGAAATCAAACTTGGAGGTCACTCTAAAGTTTCTAAGTCTTTTGAGAATTGAAAAAATATCTATACAACTTTATCAAAGGGGAAGATAAACATCATTCGCCTTAGCTTTTTTATGTTTACATGAAGTTTGTATCTTGGTCTGCAGTGCTGTACACATATTTTAAATCACTTTGAATTCTGTTTTAATTTACCATTTCATATTTGATGCTTTTTCTGCTTATTTACTTCATAACATGATATAATATTGTTCAATATTTGATAGAAAAATCTGGAAAACATACAATAAATAAAGTGGAATTATCAGGGCTAAGAAAGCGGCCTGGTTCAAATGAACAGGATCTAAATCACATGTGTCAAAGTTGAGGTCCAGGGGCCAAATGTGGTCTGCTAACACATTTTCTTTTTCCCGTCACTATATTTAATATAATATTCCATTAATATAAAATAGATAATCTGTGAAAAAATTGAGCTCCTCTGTCTTCTCCCAGTGCTCCCAGTACAAACTGCAGAAATACACCACTCACCCAGACAACCAATATGAGCCAGGAGGCGGGTCTTAGTGCTGTCAATCACTCTCGTGCTCACCAACCAATTACGGTGGATAAACAGTTTTCCTGGAACAGTGAGTTGTTTCTCCTCCAATAGGCATACACAAGCTTGATTGACAGCGCTAACACCTGCCTCCTGGTTCTGACTGGTTGTTTTTGGCTGGAAGCGTTACATTTCTTCAGACTGATTTTTTTCACAGATTATCTGTCTGACATGGTGACAGTTTTAACAAATTTGGAAAATAACATATTTTTGTAAAAGTTAAATTTGCAGCTTTAAATTAATTATACCCAGGTCCAGCTCTGTCTTTTAGATGCATCTCTTCTCCAACATGTGAGTCAAATAAAAGGGCCGTTCCCAGGCGGCTGCAGAGCTGAATGACGCACTGATTGGGAAATTCAGCTGCTTGACTCAAGCGTGTTGGAGAAGAAATGCAAATAAAAGCTGCAGGATAGCAGAGCTTAATTCTTCAACTAAAACTCAATTTATATAATTATACATTAAAATAAAAAGAGCATCCACGGATAAATGTAGTGCAGTAAAGCTAGCTAATTAACATGTGCATTGTGGTTCGACTCTTTGACTGTGGGGAAACAGGAACTGATCAATACCCACTGCAGAGTCATTAGATGGAGAGCAGAAAGCTGATTTTAACTGATGTTGTTGGCTGTTAACAGCTTTTTACCCCGACAGTCAGCTAAAGTCTAGAGTGGCGTTCTGATCATAATTTAAATAATTTTATTTAAAAGAAAACGGCATTTGAAGTTTGGGTTTGAAGAAAACTCCAAAGTTTTACTCTTAGATGTTACATTTTTCTTCTTTATATGAGACAGTGATGGTTAATTAGATCATTTACATAGCGCCAAATGTCTGCAAATGTCTTTACATTACGGTTGGGCATTTATTTGTTATTTATTGTAATAAATTTATGATCACAATAAAATTTTGTCATAATAAATTCCAATTAATAATGTTTTAAACTCCCTAAAAGTATCCATATTGTTGGGATTATTTTTACTATTTTTCTCTTCTGTTTGTTCATTGGTATTCTATCAATAGTGTGTGATTGAAGTGGAGAGTAGCAAAAGTCAGATTTAACCTCATATAAATGCAAATACTGCAAAATTCCTAGCAAATATTCCTAAATTAGCACCAACAAATCTGTGATTTTGATGCAAAAAAACCCCACAAAAACAATTGCAAAATCCTGGAGGGACTGATCAATGTGAAAAGATGATCAATAATATTATTGAATCCAGAAACATATAGTAATATTTTAACAGTTTACTGGGTTTTATCCAGAGGTGAGTAGAATACCCAAAAAATGTACTCAAGTAAATGTAGCACTACTTCAGTACATTTTTACTGAAGTAAAAGTAAAAAGTATCCGTCCAAGAAATTACTCAAGTAAGAGTAAAAAAGTATTTGATAAAAGGTAACTCAAGTACCGAGTAACTGGTCAAATTATCAATCATTCAATATTTAAAAATTACATCACGAGATGGACCAAAATATAAATTTATGTTGAAATTTTGGTATTTTAAACACCAAAATGACAGTAATTAATTTAAATAAATAAATAAAAATCAGGCAAAAGAAAATGTTTCCAAATCAGTTTCTTTCAATAAAAAGACATACGAAACTTTAATAAAACCTGCAGGTGTGTATCTGAGTTTTTGGTGAATTTTTCTTAAAACATGTTTTTCATTCAGTCAGTAGAAAATCCAGAAATTGTACTCAAGTAAGAGTATAAATACTTAAGTAATAAAATAGTAAAAGTAAAAAGTACAGTGTAGTGAAAATACTCCCTAAATTTACTCAAGTAAATGTAATTGAGTAAATGTAACTAGTTACTACCAAACTCTGGTTTTTCAGTGTATTGTGGCCCTTTGAGGACCTTCATGATTTCGATTTGGCCCAGAATTAAAACGAATTTGATGCCTCTGGTCTGAACTAAAAACTGCAGGATCTCCAGGATTTTCGTCCTCCATGGATTGATCCTCACCATTTCATCGTGATGAAAGGATGAAGGGACATCAGCTCAGTGTCACCTTGTTGCTCCAAACTGGACCAAGGAAATGGGATTCACTGTGTCCTTTCAACATCAATGTGATTAGTGGATTCAAAGCGGCCCTTCAGGATGAAAGTGGGACAGTCGGAGAATCTAGGTTGGGTTTCCCTTTGAAGGTGAGCAGACGCTCGCTGTGGCTCTGCAGTGTCCTGCAGGAAACAGGCGAGCCGATCTATTTATAGAGACTTTTCAAGCAGCCAGAGGAGCTGCTAGAGAGAGGAGCAAAACAGAAGCCTCCGATTTCTGCATGAAATTTGTATCGGGATGAGGCATATAATATGCATCACGTAAAGAAGACTCATACTTGTCTTGCTGTAGTTTTAATCATTGCTTTGCGAGCAGGATTTTGATGTTTTTATTTGTGGATATTAGAGAGAAATGGTTTATAAATCCATTTAATTTTATGGTGCTCAAACTCTTAAGTGGTTTCTAGGGAGGGTGGAAAGTAATAAAGGATAACCTGATCTGATTCCAGTCAGCCAGAAACTCTGCAGGACACTTCAGAAATTAGAAAAAAATGATTTCCCCAAAATAATTGTTTTATTTTATTACCGTTCCCTTCCATCTGTCATCCATCATTCTGATTTTTCATCCTGATTTCTATGGAATATCAAAAATTGTCTTTAAATAAATTTCATATCAATTCGAAAGGCTAATAAATAGATACAAGACAATTAATGCTATCATGTCTATAACTGAATTAGTCTTAAAAATGCACGAGTTAGTTTCAGTTAACTATAGTTTTACCCCATTCATTTCCAATTAAAATGTCTCCATTTCAGTTTTTGTTAGCTTTAGTTAACTATAATAACCTTGTTTCCCACAGTGGGGCAGACGTTTGTCTTCCAGACGTTCCCAGGTCTATCCCAAGCCGTAAACGGGTTTATAAGGTTTACAAAACATAATCGACTTGAATGATTTGTGATCTTCCTCCAACAGTTTATCAAATGGGAAGCAACTTACAGGATTTGACATTTACCACTGTTTGTTCAGTTGTAATGCAGAACGCTGGGCAGCAGGATTTCAGACAAAATGCATCACTGAGTGGTTTTATTCATGGAGACTCAAAATGTATTTAAATGCTAAGGTCTGAGTTTACTTAATCAAATTGTAATTATCTGGTTTGGTAAACTAAGACGGCCTGAGAACGCAAAGACTTGTTTGAGCTTAGCACTAAAGTTAGTTTCTGGTCCACCTAAATGGACATAAATGTTTTTAATTTAAAAATAGCTGTTGATTTAGCTTAGACGCAAATTAACAGCTTGGGATGAATATGATAGTTTGAAAAACGTGTTTGTTGCAGTTGAAACCAATTTAAATGAGCCATATCTTAAATTGCACTTCAGTTTTGAGGCTTATTTTCAAATTTTCAGCATTAATCAGTGAACAAGGAGCACTTCATGCAAAGGAAAGCTATGACGACACAGAAACATACTTATTTTTAATCTGAAGAGCTACATTTTAAACGTACTAGGACCATTATTTTCATTACATAACAAGCTCATGAGTAGGGGTTATCAGTTCTCTTTATTGCATTTTAAACACAAATACTTAATAATTATCAGGCCATTAATCACAGATCCCAATAGTCTCCAACAGGGTTTTGATGTTTATGTCTTAAATATCTTGAAATTTCAGAACTAAAACCAAAAAAAAAAAAAAAAAAAAAGAAAAAACATCTGCCAAATAAGTCACATTTAATGTT